GACATCAGATAAGAGACATGATCCTCGACGGTTCTACTTTCCTTTTGCTCTTTTCTTAAAGCTGGAATTATCTTGTCAATCACTTTCATATCACACAAAGACTGATCACAAAAGATAAAAGAATTCTCCATCTCAGAAATGTACATTGCCTTTGAATGATACGGTCGATTTTCACAGCAAAAGAGCCTGCCCTGACCCTTCTTTTCTTTACTCTTTTGGAAATATCAGTTGATCCATTTGTAGCTTCCATGTTTGCAAACAGTTTAACGGAGAGCTTCATTCACTTGATCATGCAAAGTTACCAGTGCTTATCTAAATCGCTTGCTTTTTTCTTGTATGTCATTTCTGTTGCTTTTGGAATCTTTCTTTTATGGAGCAAAGAAGTCAAACAATTATATAAAATTGGTCCTTCGTGAGCAGTGATCCAAAGAAAATATAGAAAACAATAGGGATTTGAAGTGGATGAGTTTGGGGATAATGTTTTAGTGCTTAATATAGACCAATTCATGCCATGCGTCGGTTCTTTAACAGTGTAGTTTCTGCTCTTCAGCAACTTCAAGAGACACAACTTTGAGAATATGTGTCGACCCTTCACGTAAAAACAACAACAAAAATGGATATCCCTTCTCCATTGTGATAACTTACTTTGGAACACCCAATTTCGGCTTAAATTTTCTGATGGGAAAATGTTACAATTTAACTGTTGTGCATTAAATGATAATACCTACCATTTCACATATAGGTAGCTAGGTTTGCATGAACTGCATGTCAAAAAGGAAAAAAGCTTAATCTCATTAAACAATAACCTTGGAGGGAAAAAGGGAACTGATCCATCAAATGACAAATGGTTTCATGTGAGTGGGTTTACCTTTTGAAAGCTGAAATGTATTTTTCACCTTAATGCAAGGAGCTCCTTTTTCCGTCAAAAGTTGAATGGCCATCTAGTCATCTTCACTTACTCTTTTCATCAACTAAGAATATTTTAATGGAAGAAAAAAATAATGCACGTGCATATACATGTCACCATCCACAAGGTAGACATCACCAGCTTGTTTCTCTTATATATTTTGTCGACCAGTGTGGGTACATGAGTGTCACAACTCACAAGATGGACTTATCAAGAGAAGAGAAATTGGAGAGCCAAAATGAGGTTCAACAGCAACCAACCAAAGGCACCAGCTTCCTTAGAACTTGTTTCAATGGCCTCAATGCCTTATCAGGTCCTTCTGATCTCTTCCTATTGTGTTTTAAAGGTTTACTCTTCGTAGAACATTAAGACACTAAACAAATTGCATAACCAATCTGTTAGGTGTTGGGATAGTGTCAATCCCATATGCACTTTCTCAAGGAGGATGGATAAGCTTAGTGCTCCTTTTCCTAGTTGCTGTTCTCTGTTGGTACACGGGATTACTTCTACGACGATGTATGAACACACATCCACTCATCAAAACCTATCCCGATATCGGTGAGCATGCTTTCGGATACAAGGGGAGAGCTATCGTGTCCGTGTTCATGTACGTCGAGTTGTATTTGGTTGCAGTCGAGTTTCTGATACTAGAAGGTGACAACCTGGACAAGCTGTTTCCGAACACGGCATTCAAACTGGCCGGGATGAAAATCGGAGGAAAGCAAGCGTTTGTCGTATTGACTTCCCTCATAGTTTTGCCAACCACATGGTTGAAGAGCTTGGGGCTTAGCTTCTTTTATTCTTGTTATTTGCATCTTTTGGGTAGGAGCAGTAGATAAAGTGGGGTTCAATGAAAGTGGTGTGGCTTTAAATTGGAGTGGAATGCCTATTTCTGTAAGCATGTTTGCCTTCTGTTATTGTGGTCATACGGTTTTCCCTACATTATGCAGCTCAATGAAAGATAGAAGCAAATTCTCCAAGGCAAGATGGTGATATCTTCCCTAATTTAGTCATTGATTTTCAGGGAAAGAAACTCATTTCATGCACACCTAAGCTTTCTATTTTTTGTTGCAGGTTTTATTTGTATGCTTCGTCACAAGCACCATCAGCTACGGATCAATGGCGGTTCTGGGCTACCTGATGTATGGAGAACATCTTAAGTCTCAAGTGACATTAAATCTTCCCATAAAAAAGATGAGCACAAAAATAGCAATTTGCACTACTCTAATCAACCCGCTCACGAAATATGCTATTATAACCACTCCGATTGCGACTACTATCGAGGAAAAACCAGTCTTCCGCAACAGCAGGTCTCTGAGCATCTTCATTAGAACTACACTTGTGATCAGCACAGTAATTGTTGCCTTAACCATCCCATTTTTTGGCTACGTGATGGCCTTTATAGGATCGTTTTTAAGTGTCACCGCATCTATGTTACTGCCATGCCTGTGTTATCTTAAGCTTAACAAAGCTGCTAGAAAATTTGGGTTGGAATTGATAATAATAGTTTCGATTTTGGTGGTTGGATTGTTCATAGGTGTAGTTGGAACCTTTACTTCCATAAGACAAATTGTTAACCATCTGTGAATTGTCAAGAAATTGTTAACTCTTAAAGAATATTTTAAGTGTATTTTTGGCTAGAGTATATTTTCATGCAGACAGTTAACAAAGGTTTGTTATTTAATGGAATGCAGTCGAACAAAGTCCGGAATGAGTTTCGGGATTCTCGAGTTTTCTCCAGTTTTGGAGAATATGGTATAGAAGCTAAGATCATGGAATCAAAAACTAAAAGCAGCAGAGAAATTGAAAGGAGAATGAAATCTCCCTAGAACTAACCACCAATCCCCTCTCGTGATGCAAATGTTTAACAACTTAGATTGACAAACAACTTGAACATGTCATGTACTAACATGTATAATTCCGACCCAACACATTAGCTAATTCCATCACATCACTATATATGCCTAAGCTCAGCCTATGTTGAAAGTGGACTTTGATCTATGTCAATGACAAAAGTAGTGTTAATAGGCCAAGATTCCATGTCAAACCACCAAGTGCAATACTGTGAGTTATTCAAGGGAAAGGAGAAAATTAGGCCATTTTACCAACAACAAAAAAATCTGAAGGATTTACGTTCTACTTTCCTAGACAAAAAATCTGAGCTGAATTTGCATATTAGTTCTTCTGCAATTGATGCATTAATGACTTAGAATCAGGAAATAATGTTTATTGCAGTATTCCGCACATTCGTCTGCATGACCAAATCTGTATTGCCCAAATGAGCTTTGCGTCTTAATTGGCTTAATCGTAGTTGTCCTTTCTCAGACATCATCTTCTCCACAGTTTCAGCATCTACTGTAAATGATCATGAATGCTAGTGCAAATATTGTAGCACCTAAAAGGGAAAACTGTGAAAATAACTAGAATCATCAACCATTGGAGGAGTAATAGTGCAAGGTTTTGTGAAAAATATGGCACAATTGCAAACAAAAACTAGAAATTACAAGAGGATGCGAAGTAGCTATCGCATGGCATATGCTCTCCAGTTCCATATTGCAGTGAGCATTTGTTTTTAGACTGAGCTTGACGCCGGATCTGACCAATCGTGTTACCCTTCCTAGCAACTTGCCATGTGAACATTCTGCGCTATCGTCTTGCACAGGCAAATGGTTTCCAGACCGAGTTTGTCGACGAACTTGAGTCAAGCGGGTTGTAGTTCCTCGAAAGGGCCGATAAGTATCCTTTCGGATGCTCTGTTGCATCAATAACTGGCTTTTAAGGCTAGCTAGGCGTCTAATATGATTTAACCGTGTCAGTCTTCCTCCACCATCAGATCCACCCCTTTCAAATTTTTTTTTTTTTTTGATCTCATGGTACATTAGGGGCATTTCGTCAGCATTACCCCAATTCACCATGAAAGTCGTAGCACAATCCGTAGCCATAGCATTGTCAACATTTTCTTGCAAATGTTGAGCCTCCATACTAGAATCTAACACCGATAATGGATAATTAGTGACAATATATGAGTCATATACCTGCTAAATTGAAACTAACCAGAACATGTTCCAAAGTTTTCGAGGCACTAACCATAATTTTGAGGATTACGATGAACTGCAGGTAAGTTATAATCAGATTCTGACATTAGTACAGCAAAGTTTACAAGGATCAACAACTGGTTGTTGCTTCCCACAGTTGATTTATCTTCAAACACAAGGGTTTCTTCACTGGGACAGGCTCTTCCACATTCAATTTGTCTCTTTTCTTCACTTATCCTTTCTTTCCGACATTCAAACAGAACCCTCTTCTTTTGTTCTGAAACATCTCGACAATATTGCCTCTGTTTGATTGTCATTTCTAATGGTTTGCCGCAAAAAAAACAATGGGAAAGCACTGTCTAGCTAGCATCAATAAAGCACCTCACAACAGTCGAACACAGTTGGCCTAACATCAATGTTTAAGGACATGGTTAAACAAAACATAAAAGAATCACTAAATTTATCATTACTCAGATTTAGCTCCTAGTATTACTCAGATTTAGCACCTAGTAACTTGTAGCAATAATTTGAAAACAAAAATATTAATCCAAAGAAGCAATAAAACAGAACCCACTTGCATTTGGAACCATCAGAACCTGGAAAGAATTTAAACACCATTGTCAAGTTTAATATTTTAACCAGAAAAGACAAAACCAAATATGTTTATGGTAAAGTTTGTCTGAAAAACCCTTAATAAAGAAGAGAATGAGGGGGGAAATGATTTCTGGGTATTGCCAGAGAGTATAATTTTAAAGAATAAAGAGACAATGAGGCGACGAAAAATCGAAAATATCTATGAACTTTTGGCCAGAAAAGAACCCTAAGAAAGGAGTCTCCTAGGAATCTAAAAACTCAACTTGAGTATCGAGTCATGGATTCATGTTTTGCTTCGCCCGGTTTCTGTTCAACATCCTGGAACACAGTTTAGCGTCTGTTAACTTGTATCAAAAGGAATGTACAATTGAGTTACGTGGCATCATATTAATGGTTGTTACTTTTATACAAGTATACATGAATGCATATGGTTACTGTTTTTCATTAAAAAAAAAACACGCAAAGCTCTTATCTTTATTTGCTTTGGCTTCCCTCCACAAACCTTTGAAGCAAAAATATTTCCACGTTCTGCCATTTATTTCCTGCAATGGCAACTGCTCCATCTCCAGTAACTTCAATTTCTCTTCCAAAGTCAAAATTCAATCAGAAATTCTCAAGAACTGAACCCTTAAATCCACCACAAAATCCTATCTCTCTTCTATCCCAATGCACCTCGTTGAAAGAACTAAGGCAAATCCAAGCCTTTGCAATCAAAACCCATCTCCAAAATGACCTCACTTTCCTCACCAAGTTCATCAATTTCTGCACCAAGAACCCAACTTCTACCTCCATGGAATACGCCCACAAACTGTTTGACAATATATCCCAACCTGATGTTGTCCTTTTCAATACCATGGCCCGTGGGTATTCACGTTCCAATACCCCAATCCAAGCCATTCCCCTCTTTTCTCAGCTTCTATCCTCCAGCTTCCTGCCTGATGACTACACCTTCCCTTCTGTTCTTAAAGCTTGTTCAAGTGCTAAAGCCTTGGATGAAGGTAAACAAATTCATTGCCTTGCCATTAAACTTGGGTTTAGTCATAACATCTACATATGTCCCAGCCTTATTAGTATGTATACTGAGTGTAATGATGTGGATTCAGCTCGCAGAGTCTTCGATAAGATGTTGGATCCTTGTGTTATTTCTTACAATGCTATTATTACTGGTTACGCAAAATGTAGCAGACCGAATGAGGCACTGTCGTTGTTTCGTGAATTGCAAGTTAGAAGTTTGAAGCCTACGGATGTTACTATGTTAAGTGTTCTCTCTTGTTGTTCTTTGTTAGGAGCGTTGGATTTGGGGAAGTGGATACATGAATATGTTAAAAAACATGGGTTTGATAAGTATATCAAAGTAAGCACCGCGCTTATTGATATGTATGCCAAGTGTGGGAGCTTGGAGGAAGCAATTTGTGTTTTTGAGAACATGAACATCAGGGATACGGCCGCTTGGTCAGCAATGATTGTGGCATATGCAACTCATGGGAAGGGTTATAAAACCATTGAAACGTTTGAAGAGATGAGAAAGGAAGGCGTGCAACCCGATGAGATCACGTTTTTAGGTCTCTTATATGCTTGTAGTCATAATGGACTTCTGGATGAAGGTTGGAGGTTTTTTTATAGTATGATTGATAAATATAGGATCATTCCGGGGATCAAGCATTATGGATGCATGGTTGATTTGCTTGCTCGAACAGGACACTTAGACGAGGCTTATAAGTTCATTGATGAATTGCCAATCAAGCCTACCCCAATATTATGGCGAACGTTGTTAGCTGCTTGTAGTAGTCACGGTGATGTGGAATTGGGAAAGAGGGTGATTAAACGGATTTTTGAGCTAGATGACTCTCATGGTGGAGATTATGTAATCTTATCAAACTTGTGTGCAAGATCTGGGAGATGGGAAGATGTGGATTTCCTAAGGAAATTGATGAAAGATAAAGGGGTGGTAAAAGTTCCCGGTTGTAGCTCCATAGAGGTGGACAACGTAGTGCATGAATTCTTCTCTGGGGACGGGGTGAATTCTGTTTCAACATCTCTTCATAAGGCGCTTGATGAGTTAATGAAGGAATTGAAGATGGTTGGTTATGTACCTGATACTTCCCTAGTTTTTCATGCGGAAATGGGAGAAGAAGAGAAAGAAATTTCACTTCGTTATCATAGTGAGAAGTTGGCCATTGCTTATGGACTCCTAAACACTCCCCCTGGATCAACAATTCGTGTAGTGAAAAACCTACGAGTGTGTGGGGATTGCCATGCTACTGCTAAGCTTATATCACATATCTTTGATAGGCAGATAATACTGCGAGATGTCCAGCGATTCCATCACTTCAGTGATGGAAAGTGCTCTTGTGGTGATTTCTGGTGATAATTTTGGTCTTTGGAAAATGCTACGGTTATGCAGCATTACTGAAGTCTGAAGCTGCAAGAAGGTAGAAAACATGTACTTGCAAGTTTTTATTTATATTCGATGAATTAATATCACTTCTATGCATAGTGTAAGTATTGAATTGATTATAAAGCATGTTGTTTCATAAATAACTAAATAAATAAAAATCGAGTAAAAACTTTTATAGAGGATGGCAATAAGATCCGAATACTTTCACTTCTTGGGACTGCCAATGACAACTTCATTTCAGAAGTTTGGGGCATTGTAGAAGTTCCCATTGTATGGACTCCTTAATATAGTTGCTAAGGTTTATGTTTCATTCATTAATAAAATCATAATGGAGTTTGTGGATCACAATGGATAATTCCTTAATTCCCTTAATATTGTTGCTACAATTTTAAGATGCATAAAGCCTGATATGCCTTTGAATTTATTCAAACTCATGTAAAACAAGTGAGTGGTTTTGTATGTTAATTTTAATTTTGTCTGTTATGTTTAGCATACCCGGTATCCTATATGCTCCAAAGTGTCACATCTCACTTGGTTTTGCAGGCAAGAAAATATAAAAACTCTTTTTTATATAAAAATGTATTTTGTCTAGAATGAAACCAATGCATTACTATTGCCTAATTTTTGCAACAATTCAAACACATTTTCTAAGAAGATAAAACAAAAAAGGGGATTGAGCCGATACATTGCAATTATGGGAAAAACATTAAATACATAAACCTCTTTTATTTATGAAGGTCTGCTAGAAACTTAGCATATCGGATTCTTTAACCAAAAACCTTCTATCTTCGCCTATAAAACCAGCTTATCAATGTTATATGATTCTCAAACTCTTCAACCTTTAATTAGTTGAGACAAAGGGAAAGCAGGCTGAACGGAGAGAAAGGAAATGAAGTTGAAGTGTTTAGCCTTGATTAATCTTTTAGTCTTACAGTATCTTGCAACTCTTGGTATTTCAAAGGGTTTTGATTTCTTCTACTTTGTTCAACAAGTGAGTCGTCTTATTTTTAATAAGAGATCATTTATTTTCTGGGATTCTTTCGATTTTCTTTGTTCACGTCTCATTTGAATTACTCTGTTGATGCAGTGGCCGGGATCCTTCTGCAATTCAGATAAGTTTAGTTGTTACTACCCTCCAACAGGGAAACCCGCCGCTGATTTCAGCATTCATGGACTTTGGCGTTTAAGTTACGTTTCTATAATTACTAAAGTCTTACATGATTAATCATGGTCTAAAACATGGAAAAGTCGAGGCAGAAGAAGATTAATGAACTCCCCAATAATTGTACCATACCAAGAGCTTAAAATCTAGATAATTCAAGAAGAATCTTTACCCAACTAGCAAAAAAAAAACTTTTTGCTGGTCTCGATCGGTTAAATAAATGTCAAGGGAACACATCAAAGAGATGGTAGGCAACAAGACAAGTGGCACTCAAACATAAAGTGGCATCAGCGTTGAATTCTACGCCCTCTAAAAATATCTTCTATTGCCAGAAAATGACTTTTCTTAACATGTCTGAAAGGGATAAACATTGTTAAAGATGAAAAACATATTGATACAAGGTTATCAACATTCCAGATCTTTACACGACCTTCTCCAATCTCAAATCTGTGGGCTCTCCAGTTCTTCACTTCCACTTATTCCCCTGTTATAATATCTCCCAAAGATCTATTCTTTTCATTCATTGATTCATTCCAAGACTTAAAACAGATTTACCTATGTTCATCAAATTTCTTTTTCTTCCTCCAAAGTCTCTCTTTTTGTCCTCAAATTCATCAAGTTTCCATGGCTTCTGAAACTAAAGCTCCTCCTTTGTTTGAAAGGTTGTTGAGGCAAAGAGACCTCTATTTCTTTCTGCCTTTAATCTTGGGTGTCTCCAACAACGGTAACAACAGTGTTTCAAGAGAAAACAGTGAAGACCCAGATCGAGAAACATCACAGGAAACGACTTCTCAACGTGAAAGAATAGTTTTCATCAACCCATTTACTCAAGGCATGGTGGTGATTGAAGGAGACTCAAATTTGGAAGCTTTGTTACGTGGTCAGGCTAACAAAGATGGCCAGCCGCCTGCTTCGAAAGCATCCATAGAAGCTTTGCTAAGTGTGGAAATCGGTGAAAGTGAATATGGGGAGTGTGTTGTTTGCTTGGAAGACTGGAAGCCTGGTGAGGTAGCAGAGGAGATGCCTTGCAAGCACAAGTTTCATGATGGGTGCATAGAGAAGTGGCTTGAAATTCATTGGACATGCCCTGTTTGCAGGTATAAGATGCCTGTTGATGAGGAAGATATGGGCAAGAAGAGAGATGAGCAGAGGAGGGAGATTTGGGTTAGTTTTTCTTTTAACAGTAGTAGGAGAAGTGAGGATTCAAATCAAGTTCCTTCAGCTGATTCTAGTAATGTCTCTACTGTAAGTCCTAGGCCTGATGATAATTATGAATGGAGGGTTAGAATGATTGTGTTAGATACTTGTTTTTCCCTTTGTTTCCCTTCATTTCAATTTTCGTTTGATTTTTTCCCATCTTTGTGGGGAAATCATGCACAGAGATACTTGTCTTTTCCAAATATGTGATCATAAATAAATTTATATTTCTGTTAGTGCAAACTACTCCTTGCAATTTGATTCCTGAATAATCTTTGTACCTTCTTTCTGCATAAGAATATTCCAGGAAAATTTCTGATCCATGGTGATTCTGTGAAGAAAGAAGCGCCCTGAAGAACATGCTAATTAATTATATTTAGTTGAAGTATGAGTTTGTTGTCGGCAATTCGAGTTAAGAGGGAGTGAGTAAAGGGCGAGTTGTTTCTGCAGAATATAACATTATACCTTCTTTTGATATCAATATTCTTTCAGAAGCTCTTGAAGTTCAATACATTTAACAATTTACATGATTTATGGACAAAAGAAATCGATTCTATAATCAAGTTCATTGCTTACACTATATTACTAACAGAAACCAAGCATTGTAAAAGTTGGACCGTGCCCATTGAGTCGATCTGTTCGCTGCAGTTCAAGTCTATTGCTTTCGGACTTGGTTTGATATCATTGTAGCATTGGTTGTTGAGATCAAATGATCCCAAGAACCCAGACTTCCTTGAACGGCTACGGGTTTCCTCCTCGGGAAGCTCCAATCTTTTAGCTAGTGATTGCTCAATACATATGCCATCAGAATTGTTACTCGTACTTATTTTCTTTCCATTTGCTTGATTGATTGAACCACTCAAAGGCTTCTTTTCTTGGTGAAAGTCCATTAATGAAAGTTCAACATTTGGGGAACAAATATTCTCAGTTTTTGGTGTCCTATTGTCATCTTGCCCCGTGTTCTCGGGAGATGTCAATGAGCTCTCCATGGAACATATAGTACTTCTCGTAGCCTTTCTTTCTCTTTCTATTGAGCCTGAACCTCCTACATCAGTTAGATCAGAAAACGAAGAACTTGTGCAGCCGGTGTTAACCATTGAGACTAGCTGAGAGAGTTCAGCTTTGGCAAGTTCTACACCAACAGAAGAGCTATATTCAGCCATTGTTTCTTGTGCTTTCTTTAATACTGATTGCAGATACTTCCCTTGAGCTTCAATTCTTAGCTGTAAATGTCTCTGGACCTGGAAATGGTGAAATTAGCTTGATTGATATGCATTGATGCATTAGCAGAAAACCATATATTCAAACTGAAATTGGTATAATATGGTTTATATATACATACCTCAATTTGTTCATGAAGCTTTCTTTGTACTTCCATCTGCAGTTGGAGAGCCTGAGAAATCCGCTTGCTTCTGATGAGCACAATAATAAGAGTGTCAACACTATCTGTTTTATCACCGTTTCCATCCGAAGTTTACCAAAAGACATAGGAATCACAATCCATATTTGTAACTATTACTCATTCATTTGCTTGTGAATTCCACTTGTGTCACTAATGAAGTTCCCATACCTGCCCTGTGTTTCTTTGTAATCCGTATGACAACAACAGAAGGGAAAGAGAAAAAAATTATTATGGAGTTCTAAAACGATATGAATATAGATACAACAACCAATGAATTCTTAGCCTCACCATCTTGTTTATCATTGCCAAGGCAGATTTCTGTCTGTTGGGTTCTCCCCAGCCTGTATTTCTGCAAGAAAAATGTAGTTAAAGCATGGTTTTTTCTTCCTATTACAAAAATATTATTGATATGATCATATAATGTAAGAGTAAATTGCCTGTAAATGGCTTTTAAGATGATACAAAGTGAGTCCAGAGACCCCCATGACCCTCATCACACTCTTTGGTGTTGCTTCTGTCAAGAAATAAACATAAAGACAAACATGAACAAATAATGTTCTTATTACTAACAATATGACTTAGACAAGATGATCGTATTATTTAGGTTATCCAAAATTGTTCTACTTAACTGTCTGCCCCTCCGAGTTGATTGACGGCTTCAACGAATCTTTGGTGAAGTTCAGGAGTCCACTTCAGTCTAGGCTTTGAATCAGTTGAGAGAACCGAATTCATTCTTTGAATTTTGAGTGTTTTGCAGCAGACCAGATCAAACGAGACTGGGCCAATGTTTATGTAAGAGAGACAGGCAGAAAGCTGAAGCTCCAATGATGGGTTTTTCTTCTTCTTTTTGATCCTTCTTTTAGTAGAAACTATGTTTTCAATATGCGGCAGATGGGAGTCTCTCTTTATAATGTTGGAGTTGTTAGGCTGTCCTAAGATCTCACTCCATATCTGGAAGCATTTGGTGGGGTTGCATTGGGGAGGGAATATATGCCATGAGCTGTGTCCTTCTCCCATTTCACACCAACTTCCTTTTTTTTTTCTTTGACACAAATAGAAAAAATAATCTTTTTTTTATTTTACCTGTGTCTATGTCAGAAGGCACAAGGGCTTCGCCTCGGGACGCATTTGAGGGAAGGTGAATGGATTGAATCTCTTTGATGTAGCAAAAAAACAGGGGAAGCAGCATAGTTAAGTCTCAAAAGGATAGAAAAATAAAGGAGGTGCATGATTTGTTTTGTTCTTTGCTGGTTTCCCCTTATTCATCCTTTTATTCTTTTCCCTGCTTGATTCCCTTGCTGAGTTAGGTTAGCCCCACCATGATGAATAAATGGAATGTAACTTTCCTAACACTATTGAGGAGCTTTCAAAGGAAAAAGAAAGAGAGAAAATTACATTTGACAGAAATTTTATTTAATGAATACTTTTTAAAGAGGAAAAAAACCAGTAGATGAATGTATCAAAGAATCTAATTTTAGATTTTGGACCCCACTGATCCTGCTCTTTCTTTCTTCATATAAAGAAAATACTTTAAATACAGGTCACCTTATAGGTATCCAAAACACAATTGAGGAATGAAAACAACTCCCCATCCCTATTTTTTCCTACACCAATAAGGTCCTTTTGTTTTTCTTGTACATACTGCCATTGGATCCCAACAAGTTGATGTATAAGAAAATCCAATGATTGAAGACCGAAGTATTTGCCATCTCAGTGCCATACATTCATCAAGTGTAATTTCATTGCTTTAGTTACCTTGAATAGATGCCTTTTGAAGTTGACTCACAGTTGGATACAGTTCAGTGAGCATAGAGTGGAAGGTCCACTGATGAGATTGTCTCTATCAACAACAACAAAAAAGAAGGTTTAACAATGAGATAAGCATGGTGAACCAACTAAGTGGCGGGTCCATATTCACCACCTATGAACCTGTAGTTTCTTCAATGGCAAGGTCTTATGATGTGTGGCCTTGAGTGAGTGTTTGAAAAACAAGAAAAAAGAAGAGTTATTGATGCACCTTTCTCTTTAACAAGCTGATGTACTTGAAACCTCCTTTCTTGCTTTAATATATTCCATATCCATGTAAAAGGAGATTCTGGGATGTTGCCGTTGCCAACTAATGAATCAAAAGTCGTACAATTACAAAGGTGGATTATCAATTATTGTTTTTAAAGGGACCCAATTAGAAGAAGATGAGAAGAATATGGCCATAGGAATCTACAAGGGAAAAGGAGAAACAAACGGAATTAGTCACCATCCAACTAAAGAATGATGGAAATTTTCAGATGAAATATTGTGTCAAGGAATAGTTACCCCAGGTCCCCAACAGTGAAAATGATGCTAGCAATATGTCACAAGTCAAACTTAAACTGTAAGAAAATTACAAGCATGAAATAACTCATATATTCAAATGACAACAGCTGAATGTGTATGCCATTGTTTTGTTAGGAAGTTTTTACATAAAAGTTACAAAAGAAAGAAAGAAAGAAAGAAAGGAAGAAAGAAAGAAAGAAAGAAGAAAGCAAAAAGAAAGAAAGAAAGAAGAAAGCAAAAGCATGAAAACGCCTGCAAAAATGAAGGAAAAATGTTTTCATTCATTGTAAAAGGAAAAGTAAAAGCATAGGTGGTGTTTGTTTTTGCAGAGGCAAGAGATCTGCAGTCTCCGGATCACATCTGCAGCAAAAGAGGTGGACCAAAAGTCTGTAGTCTGTAAGAAGAAGACTGTTTGTTTTTTAACGTCTGCAGACTGCTAAAATAAACTGAAATATAAATAAACTGATTTTTTAAACTTAAAAGAGTTTTGTAATACTGAAATTTAAATAATTTTAGTTTTATAATACTGAAATTTAAATAATCCATACAACTACAATAATAGATTTTTTAAAATAAATCAATCCATATTTTAAAATAAATCAATCCATATTTTAAAATAAATCAATCCATGTTTTAAAATAAAATTTTTCATATTTTAAAATAAATCAATCCATATTTTAAAATAAATTTTTCCATATTTTAAAATAAATCAATCCATATTTTAAAATAAATCAATCCATATTTTAAAACAAATCTATCCATATTTTAAAATAAATCAATCCATATTTTAAAATAAATTTTTCCATATTTTAAAATAAATCAATCCATATTTTAAAATAAAATTTTTCATATTTTAAAATAAATCAATCCATATTTTAAAATAAATTTTTCCATATTTTAAAATAAATCAATCCATATTTTAAAATAAATCAATTCATATTTTAAAATAAATCAATCCATATTTTAAAATAAATTTTTCCATATTTTAAAATAAATCAATCCATATTTTAAAATAAATCAACTCATATTTTAAAATAAATCAATTCATATTTTAAAATAAATCAATCCATTTTTAAAAAATCAATTCATATTTTAAAATATATCAATTCATATTTTAAAATAAAATTTTGAAATAGATTTAAATAATTTTAATTTCTTTGAAGATGTTTGAAGACATAAAATCATGTCTACACCAAGAAGACCTCGCGCAAACGTTAGAATAACTTTTGTCTTCTAAAAAACAAACGGTCTGCGAAGCTCAATGTCTGCACGTGGTCTGCGCAGCGCAGACATAAAGGCTTTGCAAACCTTACACAATAAAAGCAAACACCAAAATTTCATATTGCAAAGCATATACAATATAATGCAGAACAATGATACAAGTGGTAGACAATGATTGTTTTCTGCAGAACCAAGACAGTAAATGTCGAAATTGCTTCACTAAATGAAGCCCAATTTCTAGAAATCTATGTCATGTTTATGTTGGGCATAACATCTTTGTCCTAAGACCCCACAAACACACATTTGGTTGGTAGATACAAAGTAAAATCATGCAGAAATATTCCTTCAAACTATTCAAACCAAAGTCATTACTGATGAAATGGTACAATCCCACATCGAGTGCTGCTTCCCTCTTGGTTTACTCGGTAGTTTACTCATTTGCATACCTTGCGAACTCAAGACTCGAAGACGCAAACTAGCAGTTAAAAACAGACTATGAACATAGGATATATGACATAGGGTTCAGTTGTCACAGAGATGAATGGGGAAAAGGGAATCCAAAGGAAAAGAAAGACCTTTGTATTTGTTTTCTTTCCTTCATCTTCTTAGCGACCGAATGGAACTTTAGCAAACACATTTTTTTATTGAAGAACATAACTAAACACTTAACTGATGTTTAAAGTTGTAAACAAGGATAAGGGTAGTTAATGATGATGACTTATTTGCATTGGATCAAGTGAAAAGGGCCTAAATGGACAAATTCATAACAACATTATTATTGCTCTAGAAGCCTTTCCTTACCTTAGGCTTAAAAAGAAGTGTAAGAGAAAAGAAGGCTGTTAGTCCTTGATCGTAAGTGATTAAACGGTTAAAGTGAGCTCTTCTAGAGGTCTTAGGACCCTCTTTCTCCATACCTTCTCTTATATGCTATGGATATATTTTCTAGAAAGGTCAATGGAGAAACACAAGCACTCCATTCGAGTGGTCTATTGTTTTTGCAGATGATTCATTGTCTTTTTATTGAAGCTAAAGTGGACAACTGTAGAAAGTTGTTGGCAATCATTGAAGAATTTTGTATAGCTTCAAGGCAGCAAGTGAAATTGAGAAAACCAAGTTTGGTTTTCTGTTCTAATGCTATTGTGAATGAAAAAAAGGGAGATGGAAGAAGTGTTGGGTATCCCTGTTGCTGATAGTCCTGGTTTGTACCTTGGTGTTCCTTCATATTGGGGGGAAACAAGGTGAGTTGATCAGAAAGATAAGGAGGCTACAAGGCAGATTCCTATATGTCAGTCTGGGGTGGTGATAGGTTGATTTGGCCTTATGATAAGAAAGAAATCTATAGTGTTAAATCTGGCTATAAAATGTTGAAATCCGGTTGCCAAAACAGATATTAATCTGCTGCTTCTACTTCATCCACTATTGATCTTGAACCTGGTTAGTTTTTTACTTATGTTGCTATAAGATTCATCAGACAAGAATTCTCTCTGTTCAGTACCATGTGACTACTGCTTGTAATTGCTTTGTTCCTACGTGTCATGTGTTTCTATACAGGTGTTATTGCTCTCTGTACAAGGTAGAATTTGACTGAAGTGTAGGAAAAAAGATACTTGATGATGATGATGTACGTATAACCCACATTGTAGCCCAATACAAGGAAAAAGAGAGAGAGACCGAACTCACAAGAAAACAGCCCAGCCTGCCTATCAGTGAAATCCCTTGCTGTTTTCCTTCTCTTTATTCTGTTGAATACATTATGGTACAGATATTCATTGTCAGCCTGAATTTTTTCATAAGGACCCCCAATTTTAACTGTTTGGTTAAAGTAAACCGTATTTTAAGGGAATATCAGGATTACTAGCAGTTCATGGTCAACATTTAACATGTACAAATTTCCCATTCTATCTTCAAGAACAGGTTTTACTTTTGAATCCGGGGAATGATTGATGATTGAAAGGAAACGAAGGATGCAATGGAGAAACAAAGGTTCGTGAAGTTTGTTCTGTTTTCATCACTCGTGCCTGAATTTTGCAGTCCCATGATAAAAGGATGTGTATTTATTCCAATGTTTCAGTTTATTCCTTTGTCTTTCTTTGCCTCATCGTCATATGCTGTTGTTTCACCATCATACATAAAAACATAAATTCATGCCACTCGTATGTTCCTCTTATCTTACAAAGTGTTCTCCTCATACTTTTCTTATGATTTTATCCACTAAGAAAAAAAATCAAGCAAACCTTAAATTAAGGAACATAATTGGCAATAACATGTTCCATTACAGGCACTCACTTTTACCTCCTGGTTAAAACACCATAGACAATGGAGTATTGTATAGTTTTTGAAGCAAAAGAAATAGGGAAGGCGGAAATCGGCATGCATATATATAATTATAATTTTATTACTTTGTTTTCAACTTAATGGAAAGACCGAGGATAACGAGTAAAAAGTAGATGGAGGATATGACTTTGGGAACAGACTGATTGCACAGTTTCATCAACTCTCACCTTTCTCTTTTTCCTCTAAATGATCATCTCAGTTATCTTGGAGCACTTCTACATTAAGGCGGAAACCTTTTTCTTCATTTTTTAAAATCAGGGTTGTTTTCTAAAACTTTTCATATTGCTCCTACTCCAAGAAAATCGATGAAATGGGGTGTAACTGTCTCATAGTGGTTGCTACTGGTTGCTGCTACTAGTGGTAAAAGCTCACTGCCTGAGATTTGTGCTGTTGGTGCTGAGGTACTGTGGAAGTGGTGGTTGTGGTGCTGGGGATACAAACTAGGGGTGTATTCGGTTTGGTTTGGTTCGGTTTGGTTTTTTATCAAAAATTGAACCGAATCGAAATAAACGGTTTTTCAATATTTAAATCGAAACCGAAACCGAATAGTTAAAAAATCGAAAAAACCGAAACCGGTTTTTTCGGTTCGGTTCGGATTTTTTAACGGTTCGAGTTTTTCGGTTCGGTTCGGTTTAGTTTTTTTGTTTTTCAATAAAAAAATCACTTGAAATTATAATTTTTTTTACAAAAATTACCTATTCGGTTCAATATGAAACAAATGGGTTCCATATGGAAAACCCGAACCGAACCGAATCAAAAAAATAAACCTTTTAAAACGAACCGAAAACCGAACCGTTTAAAACCAAATCAAATCGAACCGTTTTACTCGATTCTTGTCAGTTTTTCGATTTTCTCGATTTCGTTGCTCACCCCTAATACAAACCATAGCATTGGGGTTCGTCTATGGGCCTATCCCAAGATCTGGTCTGGCTGAACATACCCATCATGTCATTGCTCTTGAGACCTGTTCCAAATGTTGTTTCAAAACACCACCAGTTACAATGTTAGAGAAACAGTGACAAAACGTGAATATAATGTGGAAAAAAAGCATGTAAAAGGACTAAGATTAGAGTTTAAAGCAGCAAAAAGAGGTAAAGGAAAACGGTTGCATCAGTCAATGTCTATAAAGAAAAAGAATAATTAAAAACACTAAAATCGTCATCAAATAGTTGTAAGAAATTCGAGGTGGGTTTTTTGGAATATCTCAGAAAAAGCAGATTAATATACAGTTAATATATGGTGTTACTGGATACATTAAAAGATATCTAATAAATTTGATTTAGCGTTACTGGAAATGTTGACTAATAATAATATAGTAGGTCTAAGTCATGAAGAAATATTAAAAAATTGTGTAACCGACAAACTTAACTTGTCGGTTCGTGTCGATCCAAATTAAAAATGTATCGATCCACAACGATATAAAAGGTAAAACTATGACAAAACCGGTATTGAAATGATAAAATCGGTAAAGCGGTACCGGATATATTTAAAGTGTCGGTACTTTAATATAAGGATCGACACTTCGTTAATTTAAAAGAGAAGCAATTTTAGCGCCTATAAAGTGTCGATACTTTTAAAAAAAACGTATATATCCACAACGATATAACAGGTAAAAATATGATAAAATCGGTATCAAAAAGATGAAACCGATAAAACGCTACCGGATATATTGAAAGTGTCGATACTTTATATAAGGATCGACACTTTGTGAATTTAAAAGAGAAACAGTTTTAGCGCCTATAAAGTGTCGATACTTTAAAAACTGTATCGATCCACAATGATATAATGGGTAAAAATATGATAAAACCGATATCAAAATGATAAAACTGGTAAAACGGTACCGGATATATTGAAAGTGTCGATATTTTCGTAAGTACGTGTAATAAATTATCGATACTTTCAAAGAAATACGTAATTATCCTTTCGAAAGTATTGACACATGACATAAAAGTATCGACACTTTTGTATTTGTATCGATTAAATATAAATAACATATCCGATGAAAATATAAAGGCCATAGCTAAATATCCTCTGAAAATAGATAGAACGGACGAGTTTTTGAAATCGAAGTGTAATTGTTGTTGCATTTCAGAAGGTGTTTCTAAAGCGAAGTTTGTTTGTTTGTTGCTGCAGTCGAATCGAAAAGTATGTTGTCGAAACCCTAGTTTTTTATTATTACAGTAATCGCGAATAGGGTTTTTATGTGTTGTTTGGGGTTTTGGAGTAAAGAAGCATTTGTGACCGATTGCAGGTAGAAAGTGATATTCAAGGTAAAATATAAATGTCGATACTTTTATTAAATATTATAGGTAGAAAATGATATTATAGGTTGTATAAATGTGCCGACACATTTTGTAGTGGCCATTCAAATTCTTTTGAAGAAAACCGTTTTACCACATGAGTAGTTATCTATATTTGTATATTGAATAAAGTGTATGTAACAAAATAATTTGATTTGCGTAAACTGATATATGAAGGAAAAATGGAGTCAATGGGTTGGAAAATTGTTGGTGGCGCAGATGACTTTGAAATTGAGGCCGAGACTCGAAAGCAACCAAAGGGTGGATCAATGTCTTTTTGTTATTATTGTTGAAATGATAATTGGATTAAAGTATCGATAAACTTTAAATTGATTACAAATTTTAAATGTTGACAGTATGGTCGAATGCAAAATGATGAAGGAAGATGGCACACAGAGCGGTTCGGTATGTAAAATGAAATTGACATTAAGTATTATTTAGTGTTAATGTATTGATTAAGAAACGCTTATGTTTAATATTAGGTGACAAAAGATGTGAGGTCCAAATGAAATTTGATGAGTGATGCTGAAAAGGAACCTTACATCACACAGTAAAGGAATGATATTAAAGAATACAAAGAACGGAGTAAAGCACATGAAAATAAGGTATTCATTAAACTTGTAAATACGTTGATACAAAATATATAAGAACTATAACATTATATATTGTTAAAAAATGTATGAAGTGTCGACAAGATGCAGCATTAAAAGGGTGAATTCATTAATTAAACACCTTAAGGAGAATGGTCAGTTGAATGTGCTGGGAGAAATAGGTTTTGGATCGTTGGTAGGAGTAAGGGATCGACCTATTCGGAGGGAATTGTGTCGATCCTTGATGGCGCAATTTGATGTCAGACAATGTATTGCTAAGTATGGTGATTTTTCATTTCCTCTCAGGATCTCATGTGCTGCAGCCGTATTAGGGGTATAAAATGAAGGCAAAAGTATTGTAGAAGTCTATAAGAGTAAGGACTGGAAAGCACTTGCCTCCAAATATGGTTTGAAGCAGAATGTGACATATGCTGAAATTGAAGAGGAAATAAAAAGTGGATCTTACGGGGGGGATGAGCTGAAGACCATAGTTCTATTATACCTTGTCGGTATCTTTCTTTGTCCAACGGGTGATACGTCAACGAACAAGGAATATATGAAGCTCATTTGCGATGAAGGCTTGAAGGGTGAATTCAATTGGGCTGAATATATCCATTCGAGATTGATTGAATCAATAATCACCTTTAAAAAGGGCAGCCAGAGATACCTCAAAGGGTGCATAGCAATCTTAGAGGTAAATGAGTTGAAGAAATTTTTTGTGTTTTTATATAAAATGATAGTATAGTTATTATATAAAAATATAAATTTTATTATAAATACAGGTTGCACTGTTCGATTTTTGGTCGGGATGTGAGGCAATGCTGGCTTATGAAAGAACCGGAGTGGCACGCATCCGTGCATGGGGGAAGGAAGAGGTAGATTTTATTATAAATATATTGAAACACATTATTAAAGAATTGTTTTCCATGATATCCACGACAAAGTTTTCATACTTAGAAATATCAGTATATTTATAATCGTTTTCTATAATGTATCCAAACTTAAAGTCTCCCATAAAGTGTCGATCAATATATAAAAAGTAACGACCCCAAAAATATTGAAACCGATAATTATATTGTAATGGGTAAATTTTCAATATACCCAAAAAAATATCAGCATAAAGTGTCGATACCTTTTCAAAAAGTATCGATACCTTTTCAAAAAGTGTCGATTGAAAAAACATCAGAACCCATAATTATAATGTAATAGGTAATTTTGTAATATAACCGGTATAGATATACCGGTTTTATGAGAGAATAGGTCTACAACCTATATCGACATTTTTTAATATTGTGTCGCTACTTTATGTCCAAAATGGATGAAAAAAGTGTCGATACCTTTTCAAAAAGTGTCGATTGAAAAAACAACCCATAATTATAATGTAATAGGTAATTTTGTAATATAACCGTTATAGATATACCGATTTTATGAGATAATATGTCTACAACCTATATTGACACTTTTTAATATTGTGTCACTACTTTATGTCCAGAATGGATGAAAAAGTGTCGATACCTTTTCAAAAAGTGTCGATTGAAAAAACATCAGAACCCATAATTATAATGTAATAGGTAATTTTGTAATATAACCGGTATAAATATACCGGTTTTATAAGAGAATAGGTCTACAACCTATATCGATACTTTTTAATATTGTATCCATACTTTTAAGTAACGCGATTTTTCTTCCTTCTTTCAATATTTATATGTACATGTTTCTTATACACAATAGGATCATGATACTTACGATATATAGAGATCGTTGTCATTCCATTCCGTCTTCGAAAAAATCAGTTGATGTAGGCTGTGTGCTTGTACTCAAACTGAGCTTGACTTGAGGACATGTTAGTTTGTTATGTCCCTCACCGTTGCAGTACCCACATTGCCTAATTTTCTTCTCGACCTTGTTCTTTTTCGGCACTTCTTTTCGTTTGCGTTGTTTTCGTTGAAGGTCACGAACGTTGTTTACTACAATGCTTTGGTTGACTGAATCATTCAAACCACACGAGTTTTCTAATTCTTCTATTAGTTTTTTCATCTCATCTCTTGCGGTTTTGAAAGACTCGTCTGTCTTTGATGCAATGTAGCATAACCTACTTGACGTTGAACGTAGAGCAGCGAACCTTGTCATTTGCACCACTTCTGGAGACACATTCATGTCAACATAACTGGGTGCAGAAGCATTCGTATCATTAGTCCACCTACTTTGAATCAAAGTCCCGGGAAAATATGTGTAATCCAAGTGCTTCAAAATGTGAAGTTAATGGCGACTCGGAAGTCCAACGTCTCGAATTTTTTGTAGGAGCAAATTAGAGTTTTCGTACGAGACCAAAACTAATTTCAAATTCCTATTTTTTCTGCGTACTTTGACAAATATAATGTTGACATTCATATGATAAGGACTTAATCTCTGCCTCAATCCGATACAATGTCTCCCGTATAAGTTCATATTGGAACGCACGAAAAGATTAGTGGGTAAAAATCGCAGCGGCATGGCTTTCAAGGGCGACCATTTTTGTGATCTGGAAGGGCTTCGTATGGGAACTTAAGTAATCCGTTTTCAACTCGTTCATACGCATTCTACTAATTCCATCTTCAATTGGACGAACAACATCTAAATATGTCTTCTTGTGTTTCAGTGCAATCGCTAGTGAAACATTCATAGACTCTCACCTTTGTGTTGAGCGAATATTGGCAAAGAAATGACCGGATAGATATGCTTGTGCCCATAAGTGTCGTGTATTTCCCTTCTCAATCACTCATGGATGCTTTTGGACGTTGATTCTGAAACACCGAACGCCATTGATATCAAATCTCGGTGTCCACCAGGAAGCCATGCATTTTGAGAATGCTGCTGTAAACTTTGGGTCACCAATGTTAGCTTGTGCATTGCGAGAAAGATGCCAATAACATAATCTGTGCTTAGCATAAGGGATAACAGATTTGATAGCCTTCTGCATTACCCTATCCCCATCGGTGACAATGAAATAGGTGATTATTCATCATGGCTTCTAAAAAATTATATAGCACCCACTCGAAAGATTGAGACGTCTCGTCAGCGATTATGGCAGTGGCAAACACAATTGTGTTATGGTGATGATTGACACCGACAATAGGCATAATTGGTCGACCATACAAATTATCTTTGTACGTTGTGTCGAACGCAATTACATCACCGAAGCATGTGTAATCCGATCTCGATGTAGAATCCGACCAAATAAGATTATATAATGCCACCGATTCATCTACCGAGTATGTCATAAAAACCCGTGATCATCATGTTTCTTATAATCAAAGTAGGCAATAAGCGCATTCACATCCCCATCGACGATTTCCTTGCTTTACCTCTTTGAAGTGCATTGTAGAGGTCTTTATGTGTAAATCCAACATTATGATAGCCCCCTGCCTGCTGCGTTAAATAGTTCATTACTTGTGATGTGCCAACATCGACCTATTTCAATGTTGTTACCTCATCGATATTAGCCTTACTTACAACTCTATTAGAACACATAAATGGTGTCATAGCATGTGTGCCCAATGCATGATTATGTTTCTGATCAGACTTACTTATAGCCCACTGATCGTTTGTATTTGTTACTGTAACTAAGACTCTAGCCTTACATCTTGTTCTTGTGACTGGCGTATGAGTACGTTGACGATCAACAATATTGACTTTTGATACTCGAAACCCTTCTTTGGAACAACAAAATTCTCGTGTCTTCACATTCCCTTCACGTCAAGCCGTGTTGTTCCCTTACGTGCACTAAACCCATGTTCCCGTGCGAATCCCTTGTAAAAGTACCAAGCTTGATCACGTGAACAGAAGAGCTGACCAACCAATCTATCAGATTCATCAACATTATGTACTTCATGGCATTCCTCGGTTGGCTTAACATTGTCTACATCAGTATGATCCATGGCAAAAATTTTGTTGTGCAAGTTCAGTGGTCCCGGAGTTGATGGAGATGTAAGCAAAGGTTCATTTTGAACATGTTTCAGTCGTGTTGCTTTCAATAGGATGTGGTATTGGTAGTGGTAGTTAAAGGGTGGGTACAACATTAAATTCGCAGTACATATTTAGGTAGGTACAATAACTACCTAAATATGTGTCAATACATTTTCTACAAGTATCGACCTAAAAAACATCAAAACCAATAATTATAATGTAATAGGTAAATTAACATATCATGTAAATTTTACCTTTTTTTTCATAATGTTACCTGATATGTTGAAAGTATTGATCCTTTTTATAAAAAGAATCGATACTTTACAATATAATAGGTAAAAATATGATGTAATAGGTAGCGCTTATATTGTAAAGTATCTATCCTCTTTATAAAAGTGTACATACTTATTTCACTGTGAAAAACATTAATTTAAGGTTATCTTTTGAGTGAGTTTTAAGATATATCAAATTAGTAACTATACGCGTCTAATGATTTATTTTTTATGTTACGGTATATATTATTATTAAATTAAAAACAATAAACATATATATTACATATTTATTATTATTTTTGGTTAATATTGTTAAATTTAAATTCTAAATAATATTTTATAAAATATCAAAACAATCAAATAATTTGTGTAAATGAAATTATTAAATTAATATTGTAGGTGGAAAACATGAAACACTATTAAAAAAATTGAAACATAAATTACATAACTTTAAAAAAAGTATGAATCATTTTTATAAAAAGTATGAACACTTTCAACATATTAGGTAAATTTTACATTTTTTATCATAATGTTACTTGATATGTTGAAAGTATCGATCATTTTTATAAAAAGTATCGATATTGTACAATATAATAGATAAAAATATAATGTAATAAGTAACGCTTATATAATGTAATATGTAACGCTTATATTGTAAAGTATCTATCATTTTTATAAAAGTGCCCATACTTATTTCACTGTGGAAAACATTAATTTAAGATTATATTTTAAGTGAGTTTTAAGATATTAATTTAGTAATTAAAAACAATAAACATATATATTACATATGTATTATTATCTTTGGTTAATATTGTTAAATTTAAATTCTAAATAATATTTTATAAAATATCAAAACAATCAAATAATTTTTTGTGTAAATGAAATTATTAAATTAATATTGTAGGTGGAAAACATGAAACACTATTAAAAAAGGATTGAAACATAAATTACATAACTTTAAAAAGAGTATCGATCCTTTTTATAAAAAGTATGGACACTTTCAACATATCAGGTAAATGTTACCTTTCTTAAAAGAGAAGAAGTTATAACGCTAATAAAGTGTCGATACTTTATAAAAATGTATCGATTCATAACAATATAATAGGTAAAAATATGATAAAATCGGTCTCGAAATGACAAAACAGGTAAAACGCTACCGATTATGTTGAAAGTGTCGATAATTTATTATACGTATCGACATTTTTAGAATTTAAAATAAAATAAATTATAACGTCAATAAAATATCGATACTTTATAAAAATGTATTGATCCATAACAATATAACATGTAAAAATATGTCAAAATCGATCTATAAATGACAAAAAGGTGAACGCATAATAAATAAAACTTAGGAGGTAAAACACAAAGAGACCCACCAGGGAAGAAATCAAAAGTTGCTTGTTGTACAGAAAACCCATCATACTGAGGGACCTCGCTGGTCATGTGGGTTGAAACTTTTGAGCAACCATTAACCCCAGCATCAGAACCACCATTGAAGGTTCCAAATTGGTAGTGGGAGATAGTGTCAAGCCTTCTATTGGGGATGGCGAGACAGTATGGGGCTGGTGGTTCAGCTTTAGCTTCTTCCATCCTCTTGTAAACAGATTGACTCAGCTTCCTCCTCCTATAGGCACTCGATTGTTCTCTATACTTCCTAGCCATAATCACATGCCAATGGTTCTTGACTGCATTATCAGTCCTTCCAGGGAATAGCCTCGCTATCATTGCCCATTTGTTACCATAGAGTCTATGTGCTTGCATTAGACTCTCTTCTTCTTCTTCAGTAAACGCTCTTCTATTGATCCTAGGATCCAATTGGTTAAACCATCTTAGCCTGCAGCTCTTACCTTCAGCAACAATCAAACTAAAAATCTGAAATGAGTCTTTAATGGACTAAAAAATAAAATAATATTGACACTTTTTTGTCACTATCTTACCTGATCTTCCTTCCAACTTCTCAGCTATAAGGTTCCAGTTCTGAGGGCCATAAAGAGCTACGAGTTCCTTGAGCTTAGTATCTTCTGCAGGCCTCCAGTGGCCTCTGGCACAAAGCTTAGACTGTACACTATCTGTTTCCTTGCCACTTACAGCATTCTCATTGGAGTTCTCATTTAAATTGGCGTTCAGATTAATGGTCCTATCACTGCAATCAGAGCCTTGACCTTCCACAACACCAGAGCTATGGTTTTCACCAAAGCACCTTGTTTTGCAGCTCCCCATGAAAGGAAAACCCCAAGAAGCTCTTTCTCTTTCCTGTAAGTGAGACACACTTGAGCCTTCAATACTATAGTTTGGACCAAGAGAAAGTGAACCCATGTCTGGAAAAGCCATCCCTATTGAACAACCAGGAGAATATGAAGATAAAGAAGAAGACGGACTAGTAGAAGAGTAACAGCTTAGTCCATTCACATTGTCTTGTGCTGGTGCACATATAACAACACACTTGTTAACCATGCCTTCATTTCCTATCCCCTAACAAATGCTGTTATACAACTGTTACAAAGTCATGTTGTTCGTGAATCAGATAGTTTCAAAAGGGAGGTGGGAACCGAGAAGAAAGTTTGACAAACAGTGAAAGACTGGGAAACGTGAAAAGGATTAAAACTTGAAACAGCAAAACCTACAAAGGAAATGGACTAGAAACAGTAGCTTGAAGTAGTTAACTAGTTCGTTCTCCTATATTACTAACTTTTCGTTGTCCCCTTCCTATCTATCAGTCACACGTGTGTAAAGACTCATAATGTGATGTGTGTAAGCTTAGGGTTGTGCAGGTCTAAGGCACCTTTCTTTTCAAGGGCAGAGTTTGACAAAACAGGCCCCCCTATCAACACACTACTAAATAACCTAGCCCCCCTGTCCATCTCTATCAAAGATTTTAACTTGAGGATTGTGTTTAACCTAGGGGTTAACCACCTGATATTGACCCAACAAAGAGCTTACCACACTCATGTCCCTTCATTTTCCAAGTAATTGTAACAGTACGACAAATGGTTAGCTTCATTAGTGATCTCCATTATTAGAAACAAAGATTCTGCCTAATTGTTTCCGGCATTTTTACCTTAATCTCACAAGTCTGAACAGTAAAAACCAGTATAGATGTAACCAATAACACAATATCTTTTCCCTTGCAAGTTGCAATAATCCTGAAGTATGATGTATGTATATACATGCATATCAGGAATGGGATACATAAGAAAAGTTTTTAAACCCCAATAAACATCTATTGCAGAACTAAACAATACATTTATAATAGGTCATTTGTGAAGATTGTTTGAAGTTTATTTAGCAACTGTCTGTCATGAGTCAATGGCCTAAAATGAAACCTATAATACGAAAGAAATTTTTTTTCTTCTTTTGATGGGTCAGATCAGTGAATGAAACAACATCTGAAATAGTAAAAAATATTGGGCATATTCAAAACAAAACCTCAATTAAACCAGTTAAAACCATAAGCATGTTTCCATGCAAGGAATGTCCTCAAACTTTACCCAGAAAAAATGGGAAAAGACTTGTGAGTTATATTATATAAAAATGCATGGATAGAAAGAAACAACTTGTACAGAATCTTATCATTTTTTTTACTCTGTTCTTGCTAACTGGAAACCTAATGGCAGACCCTTTCATTTAATGCGATTCACAGGGGCTAACAAATATGTACTATCATTGTTGCTGATCTGGTGATTTGGACAGTCTTCAGTCAAAAAAGAAGTTTGTTTTTCTGAGATTTTCTTCCCACACACTTATTCATTAAACTTTATACTCAAGTATAATTCAATTTTATTAATTGAATTTAAATTTATTGTCAATGGATCTATCAGACATTAATTCTGCGTTTTGCCTGAAGACTGACTGCAATGCTTAATAATGTGATGGCGTGAGCGCTTTTATTTGTCTTATTTTGTTTGCTCCTGCCGAAAGATTACAGTGTTGTCATGATGTCATCATGACATTGGAACTGACAAAAGCAGTTGATTTTAATTGTCATATTTATGGAATTAATCAATATTATATTAGTTAAACTGATTGGATAATCTTTGATAACATAATAACTGAATAGATAATTCATAATAAAAATACCAAAAAAAATTTGACTGCTAAAATTTTGGTCTTTCTAAATAAATAATTTTATTTTTATTATTTTAAAAAAACTCGATAAAAATAAACTTTTTTATTGAATTTTAAATATTTAAATCCACGTCACAATATTTGAATAATTTCGTTCTTATAAAATAAATAACTTTTTATTAGTATAAAATAATCATCTTTATAAAGGTCAAAAAGACTTTTTTTCACTCATTTTAAAAATGTGTTTAAAAGAAAATATATAAAATCATATGAGAAACAGAATTAGATGGTTAAAATATTTGTCTTCAATAGATTTTGATCCGATGATTTATATAATTTATTTTAAAAAAAAATAAGTTAGGGGTGAAGCTTGTGAACGCGATAATCTAGATTATGGTGACTTTTATGGTACAAATAATCAAGATCGAGTTTAAAATAAAAAGTCCTCGATTCATATGATTATTGTAATGCTATGTTATGTGTATATTTAGGGATAATTATTATCATATATCTCATTATAATTTCAATTATCTCTTTAAGTTATAAAATAAAAACAAAAAGAAAATCATGTTAGATCAAAACATGTTTTCACATCAAAACTCAAGACAGATTTAGAACGAATATAACATCACCAAATATCAAAATAAGTTAATCAAATGAAAATCTTTAATTTTGAATCGAAATCAAGACGACATAAAAATTGATTTATTACATATAATGTTCATTCCTAATATATTAAATAAGTGAAGAGATAGAAGTGGTCCTATTAGAAACACAATGAAAATGGTAAGTTAGGTTTGTGGGTAGTGACATAAGATGTGAGGCACGACGCAATATTATTTGTCTTAGGGGAATAAGTAGAACCGAATAAGGCAAAGGCAATGATGCCTTTTATAACCAATTTGAAAGAAACAAAGGACATTTTGTTTTTATAATTTTAGGTAAAAAAAATACAATTAATGTATGTATGGCCTCCGTCTCCAGCTTTTAAGACACCATCAATAGAGCATTTTCAGGTAAAAACTTCTTGCAGTACACTTCCACAACTCATATATTATATAGTCATCATCATCCATTCATGCATGTATATCTGACTTGCTAATCTTATTATTATTTTTGTTTTTAAAGGATCTTTCAATTGTATGACTGATTGGAATTATCAACTACTAAATATTGTATCTTAGTATGAAACAATCGTGAAACATTTATAAATATATCTTCTTATCCTTAGTGGGTCTTGGTGAACATCTCCGAAGGAATGACATCGTGTAGTAATTGAGCATTTATCATAACTTATTTTATGATAATTACATGATAGCTTAATTAAGAATTTAAGAGGACAATAATTAAATTATAAAATTGTTGAGATTATACCATTAGATCATAGCTAGCTTTATAATTCAATTTTAGTCAACATTAATTTTTAACGGATTATTAAGTAACATCTTAATGGGGAAATACATATTTTACACCTTACATTATCATCATAATCTCTTTTTATACATGTACATGTGGTTCCTTGTTTGCACGTGTATGGAGACATGCATGGATCTGTGTTGGAAGGAGGGGGAGGGGGGTTGAAATGTGAAGCGGCAAACATGAAAACATAGGATGTTTGGGTTTTATTTTTCATCTGTTTGTAAAGGGGGGGAGCCACCAAGTATGCATGAAAAGAAAGGAGAGGTCACATTGGTGATATATGGATGACCCACCATATATAAATAGCAGGCCTCATCATAAGATTCTGTTGGGGCTGTTCCCTTGGAACCATATAGGAATGCAAAGCGAGGAAGTGCCACTGTTCCTCCATGGCAGCATCACGAAACATCACGAAACTAATCAGTAAAAATGAGACTAATCAGTAAAAACGAGACTAATCAGTAAAAACAATCTAATAAAAATGAGAAAATGGGCGAGAAACAAGGTCCACAACAACATCAGACATACTATATCCTTGGGTTTTTTTGCTTTTCTAAACATGTTTGATCATCATGTCTTTTACATTTGTCTGAGAAGATTAAATAAAATCTACTGAGTGGTTTGAAAATGGATGCTGATCTCTCTAAAGGAATCCGATCAAGGTGCGTGCAAGTTGTCAAGTTTATGAACATGACATATATTGATATTGTACATCACTTTAAAGAATCGCTGCTAATTGCATTGGGTAAGAAGCCTAAAAATATATTGAAACACTAAAAATGAAGCCTGCAAAAGATAAACAGTGGTCAAATGCAATGAAACACTCTAGTTATAGTATAATAATTAAAGCCAATACCAGAAAAGAAGAAAACAAGATGAAGTCCTCGTTCAGTACTAGGGGAACTCATTAGGCATAGGGATAGGAGTGCGCAGTGGGGTTTAATAGGGTTTCATTTTCATTGACTGATCTGTGACTGTCCAAAACATGGAAGTTTGGTTTTACCTACGTCTTTTAACGGTCAGTAAGCAGTTCTGAAACACAGAGAGAGCTTTAAAAAGATTTGAAACTGAGTCATTGTCAAAAAAATTAATACCACATTTAGTAATTATAGGTTTGCTTTTCCCCAGTGCTTTGCTTTTATGATTTGCAGGATGAAAACAGGTAATTGTAACAAAGGATGAGACAACAGCTTTACTAAGGATCCTGAAGAGTTACATAACTTGTTTGCTACAGAGTGTAGCTAAGGCATGGATGTTGTGACACTTCATTAATGACATTTGCTGACTGTAGCTAAGGCTCTTTAGCCATTATTGTTTGAGAAATGAATCCAAACCAACCCCACTTTCAGTGAAATGTCTTTTTCCTGTGGGAAAATATGACATTAAATCAGTGGGGATACAGATTTAGAGGCAATCATAATAATAGTAGATAGTGTTGATTTTAATCCTTGGGGGCAAGCACATAAGAAGAAAATAGTCTTGTACCATGGGGACTGTTTAGTCCTCACATTCGCATTTCAATCTTAGTGAAAAGAAAGCATAAATGTGAATTTAATATATGAAGGGAAAACAACTAATTTCATCACTCACTTTTGATTATATTTCTGTTTTGATTATTAAACTTCAGTTTGTTTTAAATTTTATCAGTCAATTTTGATATTATTCCATTTCTTGTCACTTCATTGTTTATTATTTAACGATATTATGACAAACATTAATATTTTAAAAATGATAAAAAGGTCACAGTTTTTGAATCTATAAAAATACCTCTAGGTTGTTTCTTTCGCATTTTTAACCTTGTTTTTTATTTTATTTTTTATGATGTAACATCTTCAAAATTCCAACAACGGAGAGGTGGAGAAGAAGTAGATAAGCAATACATTCTAATTCCACAAGAATTGTTTTCCTCGTAATTTTAAGTTGAAATTTTACGAATTTTAAAGAGATTTTAGAAAAAAATAAATTGATAGAATGATAGGAAAAGATGAAGTGCCATTTTCGATGTATGTGATGATTGAAGAAAACACTGAAAAGTGAACGAATCTATGACAGCGTGAGATGAGATAAAACTCTAAAAGTTTTAAAGTTGTTGAAAAGACGATGAAATGAAAAATAAAAATAAAAAGGACGAAAATAAGATGGCTTCCTCTTCAACATAAAAACACTGTCATCCTTTTGTTTTTGATTTAAGGTCTAAGTGATAAAATAGAGTATTTCGAAAGTTGAGCAATTAAATTAATTTTTTAAAAAGTTTAGTGACCAAAACAAGAATATGGTAGAAGTTAAGTGAAGAAAGACGTAGTTGAGCCAAATGTTAGTATTTGTTTTCTTATGGTTGACAGTTCCCGCTGTGGAGGCAACAATAACTTTGCAGTCTGTGTGTTCTGTTTCCCCATGGCCATCCATGGCTGGCACTATACAAAGATTCTGCTGACACAAAGAAAAAGAGCACCACGAGGAAAAATATACTCATAAATGCCCAATGAAAGAGATGACAAAGCTTCCAGGGATGCCAAGAAATATATTTCAGGACAGAAAACTAGAAAGAGAAACCCATTGATACAGTTGATTGGCACAGTTACAAAAGAAACAACAAAAAACAACAGTGAAGGGAAAGAACACGACAAGGTTCATGCAAACAGTGATTCATGTGCCTCCAAAACAGGTTATCATAATGTACTACTTACTACTAATCTGTGCAATCATCATTTAGCTTATCAGAAAAATTAGAGCAACGTTTTCATGCATTAAAGCTTGTCTGTTTATCAATGATGCATAGTCAAACAACAGCTGAAAAGAAAGGTTCTGAAATCAAAAGCTTTCTATGTGTGCACGCACGGTGAAATGAAATGAAAGGGATTACTAACTGAAAGGAAAAAGGAAGAGATCATCAAATAATGCCAGCTTTAAAAGCAACGTTAACTCTTTTCCCTGGTTAATTCAGTCATAGGAAAATCTGGGTTTTTTTTCCATGTAGGTTTTTAATAACCCCATTTCTAATTATGCCATATATATATGCAGGATGGGAGGGGCTAAGCTAAAGATAAAGTTAGAGGAGAGAACACAAACACAAATTGCCGCCGTTGCTAATGGGGTCGGAGTGCTTGGTTATGAGTTTTCTCTGTAGTTTAGAGTCGAACTCACCGACCTTAGAAGTTGGGAGTCGTTGCATGTAGTCTTAGTGTTTAGGGTTTTATAATAGTGAAGATAGGAGAGTTTAGGGTCGGGTAAGGCTTGTGTTTGGGTTAACCAACCGTTGCTAATGGTGGTCGGAGTGCTTGATTCTGAGTTTTCACGACGGCGTTGCTAGTGACGAGGAGAGAGTTCTGTTTTCATGGTGGTTGACGGCTGTGGGTTTTGAGAGAGTCACGACGGCGGTCGAAGTGTAGAACTCTGTTGAAGAAAGGCGAGAGGAGCGGCAGTTGCGGCACTGTTTTCTGGTTATGGGTCGTGCGAGAATGAGAGGTGGAGAGTTGGAGAAGGTGAGGGCATGAGGCTTGAGCGGCTGAAATGAATATTTAGTTTAAGTTTATTTTAATTTAGGTTCTAAACTCTAATTGACTTTGGGGTTAATTATTATTTAACTACTATAATCTTAGGGGTAAATTAGTTTTAGGGTCTTTAGATTTATGTGTTTTGTATAAAACATACCTCAATTGTTTAAATTTTACCTTAAATTAGTCCTCAAATTTAGATTTTTCGTAATTTAGTCTCTGTTTAAGATTATTTTCTTTAATTAGTTGTGTATATTTATTTTGCATGTTGATATGTTTATATATAAGTATGCGAATGATTTATTTATGAGTCGCATAACATCATTTTACATAATTTGTATGTTAGTTTCATGTGTATAACTTAAACCCTAAACCTTAAATTTTAAACCCTAATCTTTAATACTTAAACCCTAAACCTTAAACTCCAAACCTTAAATCCTATCACATAAACTCTAAAGTCTAAACCCTAAACCCTTAAAATCCTATCACATAAACTCTAAACCCTAAATCCTAAACCCTAAACTATAAACCCTAAACCTTATCACATAATTAGAAAGAATGAGATGACTTAGTGAAAGGAGAGAGAGTAAACTTGTTTTTCTTTCTTAATTCTTTATAAAAATCGGTTACACTCTATTTTGATATATTTTTGTAAATTATTAATATTTAAATTGAATTATTTTTTTATTATATTTATATTTATTATCAAATAAAAAATTAGTTATGAGGTAAATCCAATATAATATCTTGATATTAAATGCTCAAATCCTTGATATTTATGATATTTGAATCCGAAATCTCAAAATATAACAACAAATTAAAAATTTAGTTATTACAAATATTACCATTAGAAATATATTAAATATTTGTCATTAGATAAATAATTTTTTATTAATTTAAAATAAATATAAGAATATTTATTCAAAAATAATTTTTAACCATTTTCAATTTAAGAATATTTATTCATCCATAATGTATTTTTAATAATGTAATTTTAAAAAATCTAAAATTATAATATAAAATTTTTCCAAGCTGCTCACGAGCTTTTCGAGTCAAATATCGAGTAGTTCATTTCGACTCGTTAAAAACTCGAGTCGAGTTCGAGCTCGATCCGAGTATTTATCGAGCCAAGATCGAGTCGATCTCGAGTAGCTCACGATCTGTCTCGTCTCATTTACAACCTTACGTGGTTCCCACAACTCAACAAAAAGAAGAAATTTGATCCACATTCAGCACTTCCACCATCATAAATAAATAGTATGATACAGACGAAATTGATAGACTTCAACCTCTAGTTTCCACAAAATAATATCTATACAACACCTCCTGGTTTCCAGTCCCATTTTTACTCGATCAAAGGTCATTCAGCAGCCATTCAACCTTAATAGATATGCCAAGTTTCAACTCTTCATGCTTGGACCTGCAATTGTCTTTGAGCACACTACCGCACCTAGATAGATCGACTTCCCACTAAAAAGTTGCAAAGGGGACGAACCACTTTTTCTCAGCTTTCCGGGAAATTCTCTACTCGAATTAACCTTCATGAAGAGATTTTTCTTCATGTGACTTTGGTTAAGCAATAGCATAGTTCTATTACGTGGGGGAGGCTGCAAAACCCCTTGCACACAATCTCCCACCTGTGCACAGCTCCAAGACTTTGATGGCCCATTCTCAGAAAATGGTTTAAGCCTTGAGATACTATTCCTAAACCTAGAGAAGACTCGGTTTTTTGGAGAATTTTGCTCTTCAAGTTTGGAACATACAGGACAAGGAGGATCGCTCATACGAGTTTTTTGTGTTTGTCTGCTTCAAACATTCTGCATGGAAAGTGTGCCCACATGAAAGAGCCCCTGCAACAGGCATGTCACTACTTACAATCCTACGAGCACTCCAAGGCGATCTCTGTGAAAGATATCTCTCGCACAAACTACATTTAAAACCACTAGATGGGATACATGATCGACTAAACATCACAGATTCAAATGACTCAGAAATATCCGCAATATCATTGCTGCTGCTAGCACTGCTCCAGCAATGGGCATCTCTTTGTGGTGTGGCTGTATCATCTGAAAGCCCCGCAACTGTGGAGTCCGAGGCTTCTGTGGTAGGAGTCTCCATGGGAAAGGACAAGGGGTGAATAGGTTTGGACATGAAGCAATACCGACTTGAAATGTTTCGTTGAGATGAGAAGCACTGCTCGACCATGGGTTCAGACTCACTACTGTCTGAATAAGGTGAAGTGGAGACACCACTATCTGCATTTGTTGAAGTACCCTGCAAAATTTCATCAACTTAAGGAATACAAATTCTACGGAAACATTCTCAACTTAACACCAGTGTGAATACAAGAATAAAGTACCTCAACGATACAAGTGAAGGGTGATTGCCCACCAACATGATCTAACAAGGAAAAGACACCAATAAGTTGTTTAAATCAAAGCTGGTGGAAATGATTCAAACTTTTTTCAAGCTTGTCTCCAATATTCAATTTTTAAATCCCAAGCACATTAAAAGAGTATTCCGGACCACTGCATTACACCCTAAGATATAGTAGCTGACTAGGCTGTTGAACATCACCGTTATTCAACTCAAAAGCAATGAGAAAGCAATAGATAGTGTTACAATCTATAACAATAAAAGAAACCAAAGGTTTTTCTCTTTCACATTTAACAATCAAAGTGAACATCAATACAGTTTAACAATCCAAGTGTCACTCTTAACTAGCTTACCTCTTCTCGCTGCAGTTTCATAATCATCAAAGAGTGATTTCTTGTATCACCGGAGGTGTCCACTGTGGACCCTGTGAAAGATCCGATGGGCTACTTAAAAAGGGCCCAGCACCATCAGATGCAGAATATTGATGATTGTAAAGAAGGTTTCTCCTCACCCAGCCCCTACTTTCTTTACTGTTTGGAGATGTAGAAGATTCATACAGTTGATTCCCATCATATGAACCATATGATGTCCACTGTGGACCCTGTGAAAGATCCGATGGGCTACTTAAAAAGGGCCCAGCACCATCAGATGCAGAATATTGATGATTGTAAAGAAGGTTTCTCCTCACCCAGCCCCTACTTTCTTTACTGTTTGGAGATGTAGAAGATTCATACAGTTGATTCCCATCATATGAACCATATGACAGTCCATCGGGTTGAAAATGGAAATCCCATCTTGAAGGGGGTGGCGAGAAACTAGTATTAGTTTGCCAATAAAGCTCTTGGGGACCCATGGACCAATCTCTACTGGGTGTATTTGACCCATGTGGCCTTGCAGCCACACAACACAGCGACCCCGTCTTAGCTCTTTTATGTAAACCTCACAAGTTTCAACTCTGCAAGTTTTCAACTTTTACAAAGCTTCCCAACAAATAACTCGAGGAATCACAACATCCTGGAGATATGCTATGTTCTCGGTGACCATTTTGACGTTAAGCCCCAAAATTCAGTAAATATAAGAATTAATTCATCAAGGAACACACTAACTTCAACAGTGAAGTATGTTAAATATACATTTCATTGAAGCATGTTAAATCCCCTCAACAGTTCCTTTTGAGAGTCAGACGCTACCATCAAAACAGAAACTGGCAGGAAAAAGCAAAATAAGTACAATCAGACGAAAAAATTATGCCGCTAAACAGCCGTTAAATTAGCAATGAAATAAAATAAATGAGAAGGAACGGAGTGTCCCTCCAAGTTAATGATCAAATAGACTTTCATCATATCATTTCCTAAACATCCACTATCCAACTTCCATACAGTAACTCCCAAAATAGAAATGGCAGCAATAAATTTTGATAATTTCAGACAAACTAAGCAGAATCATCTCGTCAAATAACTATAAAAAAATTCTATATTTCAACTTGACATAGTCATAAAGCTAAGAATCAAACAGCCTAAAAATGCAAAATTTTTCATAATTTCTGAACTTCGGAAAAATGGGGAAAAATCTTAATGGAAACCAAGTATAAGTAACTACATAGTAGCAAGGAAACCAAAAACAAGAAAGATGATTAAAATAACTTTGAAGAACAGTTCAGAGAGACTTAACGGAAGCTGCGATTATGCAAGTAATTAGAACCAAAATTTTAAATTAACATTAATGAGAAAACGCTAAAAAAACATAAAGAATAAAAGAATAAAGAGAGAGTGGGGGCTTACGATTTCAAGGAGACGAAATGCAATCGGGAAGAAATGCGAGGGGATTTTAGGAGAGTGAAAACAATCCCTAATTTATTGGGGGAAAGGAGATTAAGTTGATGTGAACTTTTTCTATTTTCACGTTAGGACCTCTAGGACCTCCTTTCTTTATGCAACTCAAAAACTATCCCAAGTTTTTTGTTTTGTTTTTCTTTTCATTTTCTATTTTTAAGATAATATTATTGTTGTGGCATTATTTATTAATTTTATATAATTAGATCGATAAATGATATATATAATTCACACTCAGAATCCACACAGTTATATATATATGTAGAATTTGTTGAATGATCTTTTTATTATATGGTTGATCAAAACCCCAATAATTAGATATTATATTTTGCGGAATTACAATGTCGTCGAATCTCGAGATTTTCTCCCTACCTTCTAGCGGGTCTTGAAGCGCATCTCGGGAAGGAAGAGCACGGTTCGTAAATCGTGTAGGTCATAGAGCCTGACAGTGTTGATGACTTGATTACAGAGTTGATGAAGCTTGGAGGACCAATTGGTGAATGGTGGAGAGATAGTATAATATATAAAGTGATTGATTAATTAAGACCAGCTTATTTAAAAATTAAAATAAACTCATACCTACCTAATAGATTAGGTAATCATTTCTTTGCACCGGCTGGCAAGCAATGATTAGTTTAATGGCAACAGTAAGACTCATTTACAAAATGAACCCACATGTTTTCATTTTGCAAATATGCCCCCTCCAAGACAAGCAATGGTCACTAGAGAATACAACTTGAGGCTTTAATTGCAAGCAACTCCATAAAGTGTGGACTTATTAAAGAGAAGGGATCATTGTACAAGGAAGCCATGTTCAGTTCCAAACTCTATAACCCTGCTGAAGTTATATATTTTCCGGTTCTCTAGTGTAGACACTTATTTTTATTCAGATTTACAAAAACATTATATTATATTATTATATTATTATTGTGATTATCATATTATTATTATTATTATTTTAATATATATATATATATATATATTTTGCAGGCCTCATACTGAACCTGCGGTTCAAACTCAAACTTGCTTGGCACGATGTGACCGAATTCACTGCCGTTGCATTGTACCGTGGAGTGCAGCGATAGAAAATTGGAAATGCAGACTTTTCTGCGGTCAAAGTCGTATAATTGACCAAGCTACAACTGTTTCTCTTCGTGGGAAACTGGTTATGTTTCCATTATCACCTCACCTCACGTATTTTGCGGGGGACTGGGGTCTTCTTTTTTTGGAATATAAAAGAAAGTAGGTTTCCTGGGAAAAAGGGGGGGGGGTTTGGCAGCAAAGGGGGAGGTTCTTTTTTGGTTTTGATTTTTTTTTATTAGATCCAGAAGCAGAAGTGGTTTCATTATCCCCAAGAACACTGCTGGAATCCGACAGTTATGTGTGCGAGATCTGCAACCAAGTGTTCCAACGAGACCAGAACCTTCAAATGCATCGGAGAAGGCACAAGGTGCCGTGGAAGTTGTTGAAAAGGCCGGATAATCAAGACACGGCGGTGAAGAAGAAGGTGTTCATTTGCCCCGAGCCGAGTTGTTTGCACCACCACCCTTGCCATGCCTTCGGAGATCTGGTTGGCATAAAGAAACATTTCAGAAGGAATCACAGCGATAACAAGCAGTGGGTTTTCGCTAAGTGTTGCAAAGGCTACGCCGTTCAGTCCGATTATAAGGCTCGTCTCAAGACTTGTGGCACCAAAGGCCATTCTTGTGACTGTGGCCGTGTTTTTTTTCCAGAGTGGAGACTTTCATCGAACACCAAGATATTTGCGCTGTTCGACGAGTTCAAACTCAATTCCAGGCTCAAACAGATTCAACCGCCACTCGATGCAAGCTTTAGCTTATCGCCGTTGCTGGTACCGGAATCAGCTCGGGCTCTTGAACTTCAGCTTCTGCCGTCGTCGAGCACTCACTCACGGCGGAATTTAGATGAGAATTGCTCGACTCATTTAAAGCTATCCATTGGATCAAACTCGAATGAATTGAGTACTACAGAAGCGAACAAGTGGAATAATAGTGAAGCAGCAATGTTGGAAGAAGAAGCGACTAGGTTGAAGGAGTTGGCGACGGAGCAGCTGAAGCTAGCCATGGCGGAGAAAGCCTACGCCGAGAAGGGTCGATAAGAAGCAAAACGGGAGATGGAGATAGCCGAGATTGAATTCGCGAGTGCAAGGAGGATTTTGAGCGTTTTAAACATGTTAAGTTGCATGTGCTTTTGTATGTCACCCAGTGAAGGTACCAATCGAGTTAAAACTCACTTATCCTTATTTTGCAGCTTTCTTATTTAACTAATTATTTGTCATGTTTAATATTTTACTTCTCTATGTATTAAAATGGGTTATGATGTATTCGAGTTTGTACATGTTAATATGGGTTATGATTGGTTGAGATGACTTAATTATATATATATATATAGGGGTACAGAGCGTTCGACTAATTGTTTGTCCTTTGATTTTATTTTTATTTTTTATCTAACATTAATTTTGACTTTTTTTTAATAGTAATCTCAATCAATTAAAGGTAAGCAATTTGAATCGAGTTTTTTTTTTAAATTTTAATTTTAATTTGAATTTTTGCAATTAAGACAACCGACAAATTAAATCGGTAACTCGATACATTTATGGTAAAATGCAGATCATGTTAATATGGTGTTCGATCTACTTAAATATTTTTAAAATGATCGGTGGCGACCCTAACACTAATTCTTTCAAGTCAAAGCTCAATTTCGGGTCTACCCGAAAGACGGCCGCGACATCTTGTAAGGTGACACCCATCCACAACTGTTCGTTGCAAAGGATCAAACACATTCAGCCAGAACTTGAGGCTTGTTCCATCTGCAATACCATCTCAAAATATGAATCTATCGAAGTTCCTTTTCGGCCACATGCTGATGCCATTCAAATTCTAATGTCGAGAGATTCGGATTAGTACCTTTGGCGGGCACGTGCTCGATAAACAGGAAAAGCCCTCCTGGTTTCAGCACCCTCTTCACCTCTGATCAAAGTTAACAAATCACTAAAATAGTTCAAGCATGAGCTAATCACTAGTTTTTGAAGTACCAAACTACCTTTAAGTGCCATGTTAACATCTTTGACAGAACATAATACAAGTGTTCCTACAACTGCATCGATGGAGGAATCATCTACTGGAACAGCCTCCGCAACCTGTATAAAATGTAGCATGTTGTCTATTAGTCTCTCTTTACATAGAAAAAGGCATCAATTTTCCCATCACTTATGCCATTGATGAAACTTACAGCTTATATGAAATGAAAATTCTTCGGAGGTATACCAACCGTGGTTGCCGATGCTCGAGCATACTTCTCCATTTTCTTGTTAGGATCCAATCCAAAAACTTGGACCTCACCATTACCAGCATAGTACTCGAGATTAGGGCCTGTCCCAATGCCAATCTCCATTACCCTTTTGGCCTTTCCCTAAAAGCTGCGACTTATAACCTGCAATCTTGAGATTCAACAAAAAGACATAGTAATTCAATCATATATATATGTATGTATGCATGTATATGATAAGAAAAGCATAAATTAACTAACCCGTGCCTCATAAGATTTCATGCTTGTGTTCATAACAGAGGCATAGAACTCTTCATACCAATCAGGTCTTGGAGGGTGAATCTTGTTGAGGAAAGCCTAAATATGAAGAATATTCTAAGAAATCATACAGCCAGTTATAAGTATATGTTTTGAGAGAGATGAAGAAAGGGTACTACCAAGTAATCATCAGAGTGTAAAGTGGAGGCATTGGATTTGGGAGGGGAAATTGGAAGAAAAGCGGCAGTGGCTGCTTCAATAAAATGTCTTCTTCCGCAACAGGAACAGAATCTGGCGGCAAACGGTGGCTGTTTGCTGGGAATTGCAGCGGCTGAGCTGCTCTTTTCGGTGGTTTGTTAGGTGGCAAGAGGTTGACCAGGAGATGCATGGAGGTGGACCAGTTTCAGCATCTTTGGTGTTTTAGTATCAGTTGCAAGTTAAAGTAATGGCTTGGCAAAAGCATCGACTTTGTTTTGTAAGTCATGGCCATCACCAACCTCACAAAATTTCAAGATTTTTTCTTCTATTTTTGGTGTTTTCATAGTATATTATAATGTTTTATATTCATATATAATATATTCAATTATTTTATTTTATTTCATTTTTTATAAAAATATTATTTAATAAAATTAAAATTGATAATTAATATTACAATTAGTATATTTATACAAATTCATATACCAATTCCATCAATTATTGTAGATTTTAATAAGATATTATAAAGCGTGTATAGTAATTAAGGTAATTAAAATATTCAACTTTGATAGATTTTAATTTAATCTATTTTTATAATATCAATCATTTTTTAAATTTAAATTCGGAATAAATTAAGATAAATCCTATAAAAGAGGAAGTTGGAGTAGATAAGTTAAAATTGCGATAAAAAGTAATGATTTGACCCGATTTATAGTTATTTGACCCGATTAAAGTAGAGTTAAAACGAATCGTTTTAAATTTAAGATATAATATAAAAATAAATATCTAAACTATACTACTTTTTATGAATTGTTGTTTAAACATTTTTTCGATCAATCTAAGTGGTTAACATTACAAACGTTATCATTTTAAGTATTCTACTCGTAACAGTCGTAAAAAAAGCCTATCACATGTCGCCTTCAAGTAATTTTGATAAATTCGTTTTTTTTAAAACTTAAAAATATCATTAGATTTTAAAAAAAAATTTCTTAAATTACAAAAAAAAAAAACCCAAAATCTCTAAAAATTGCAAATCCATAACTGTAATCCTAACCTTACTTTCCTTACCGACAATGACTATCGCAGTTGGTGTCGTCCTTGCTATCTCGCTAGTCAAACGTCATCATTTTTTCCGTCAATTGATCGTCGGGATCACGTAGGGCCGTGGTTTGCAACTTTGTTTGTAACATCCCAAAATACGGGTTAGTGACCACAATTGTAAAATTTCAGAATATGATGATTAAAGTATAATAGTTTAATAGTTTAATGATTTGTTCGGAAATATTTCCTAAAAGTTTATAG